ATTCCCCCGGAAGGGGATTGGGATTCCCCGGGTAGGGAAAAATTCCCGAAGGATTTGAGGTTTGGATGGAACCAGGGCGAGGTGTGAGTGACAGCTGTCAATCACCCGGGTACCGAGGAGCGATTAGCCAGGAATTCCAGGATTTTGGGAGCGATTAGCCAGGAATTCCAGGATTTTGGGAACGGCCCAATGGGATTTGGGATCATTCCCAGAGGGAGGAGCCCGGCCCGGGCTCAAATCCCACATTTGGGATTTTCCTGCTCCGGGGTCAGCCCAGCCCCTCCCAACCAGGCGCAGAATTTTGGGAATTCCCCCAAAATTCGGGAATGTTCCGCCTTTAATCCCGGTTTTTCTCCAGGAATGGGGGGTGGAGAGGGAAATCCAGGGATTTGGGGGTGTCGGGAGCCGCTGGAGCCGGGCCTGGGAAAAAAAAAATCTTGGATTTGGGAATGAAGATCCCAAAGGGCTTCTCCTCATCCTCCCCCTGCTTCCTGGAATTTCCCAAATCTGGGAAAAGCCAAATCCACCCCGGGAATCCCAGCAGGGCTGGAGGGATTCTGGAATTTCACTCTTGGAGGAATTCTGGAATTTCAGTCCCAGAGGGATTCTGGAATTTAATCCCTGGAAGAATTCCGGAATTTCGCTCCCGGAGAATTCTGGAATTCTGCTCCCAGAGGAATTCCCGAATTTCACTCCGTGAGGATCTGGAATTTTGCTCCCAGAGGGATTCTGGGATTCCCAGTACAATTCCAGCCTCGTGGATGTGCCCCAAAATTCCCTTTTTTTTCCATCCTTGCAGGAGCCGGAAAATCCAGATCCGGAACATCCCGCCCCAGCTGCGATGGGAGGTAAGAGCTGGGAATCATTAATTGGCTCTTAATTACCGTTAATTCCCATTAATAATTCCCATTAATTCGTGATTTTTTTTCCCCCCCATTGTACTGGGAATAAAATGGATCCTCACTTCCTGCTGGGAATTTTCCCTGGCTCAGTTTCCTCCCCCCTCCTCACTGGTCCTGGAGCTTCCCAGCCTTAATTACTTGGGAATTCTT